GCAAAAAAGCTATCAAAATCAGGATCCAGGCTCCTCAATGAGAGGGCTGACAAAAGTTAAGCAGGAGTACAGGCCTGTAGTCCAATACAGGGCTCTAGTCTCAGTGGGGGAATGATCATTCTTGCAGTAAGGCTTTGGCCTGAAGGCTGAGACAACATGGTGATGATGGTGTAGAGAAAGCTGAGGTTCTGTTGTGCCCCAGGCTTTTGCAGATCTTCCTGCATTAGGTGCTGGTTGTCATTCAATGGTATGTTGAGGTGGCTGGGTTATCCATCATTCCAATAAATACTAGATGAACCACTCCAAGTGGCTGAACCCACACAGGGAAGGACTCAATGCCTCACCCTGACGAAGGATTGGGGTCAGGGAACAGCCTCTGAAAAGAGGCTATAGAGATCTACTGGGAGCAGAATCCAGACATTTGGAGGCCAGTTCTGGCTCAAGGACTATCTTTTGCATAACCTAAAGCAAGTTTCAGAACCTTTCTGGGCTGTTGTTTCATCAGTAGACTATGTGCCCCGTGGAGTCAGGGCCCCGTATTTTCTTCATATTTGTTTCATTAGCATCTAGCAGAGTGTCTACCTCACAAGAAACAGTCGGTGAAATGCATGTTGTTTGAAGGAGTGAATGTGAGAGCGAAGAGAATGAACTGAGCATGGAGAATCCCATCAGCAGTTGAAGGGAGAAGGGCCTTATCAGGCCCATATGCTTCTTACCCTCGCCCTTAGATTCTTTTGCCCTCTCCTCTCCTCTCCTCTCTTCCCCTCCCCTCCCCTCTCCTCTCTTCCCCTCCCCTCTTCTTTTCTTTTCCTTTCTTTACTTTCTTTTTCTTTTTTTTGCTCATAGTTTTCTTTTACCATAGCCTTTAGATTCTGATGCCTACCCTCATGCCCTTCTTTAAGACCAGAGACACAATGAATGGGTCTTCTTATCAACTCTGTGATTCTCTGATGAACAAAACATTGAGATAGTTCACTTGAAATTTTTTTCCTCAGCATTCACTGACCAAACATTATAAAAATGTTAAAAAGTCACCTATAGCCCCCCCAAAAAGTTCTATCTATAAGGAGAGCTCATGAGTGGCCTCATATAATAACCAGGAAAACCTTTACCATTTGCAAATGCCATGAAACACCAACAAACAAGATAATCACAGTATGATCAAGGGTGCGAGACCTACAGAGCCTACTGCATCTCATTATGGTCAATGTGTTCAGAAAGGGTGACATTTTGTTGGCATGGAGACAAATGTCTCCTAAAGTGAAAGGCCTTCTCCAAGAGTGTGTGGATACTTTTCACTTTTGCTGTGGTCCCTAAAGACGTAGGTGGTTTCAACTTTAAGTCAGATATTCAAACCTGTGAATAAGGGGACTCATTGTTTGCATTTAAAAGACTTGAGTTAGGGCTTTTTATTTCTTGAGTGTGTGTTTGTGGGATAGATAGATAGATAGATGATAGATAGATAGATAGATAGATAGATAGATAGATATAGATAATAGATAGATGATAGAGAGATAATAGATGATAGATAGATAGATAGATGGATAGATAGACAGACAGACAGACAGACAGACAGACAGACAGACAGACAGACAGACAGACAGATAGATAGATAGATAGATAGATAGATAGATAATAGATATTAAGCGCTGTGGAAGATAAAGAGTAAAGATGAGAAAAGTGTTCATAATCCTGCTACTCTAAGAGAGCTACTGAAAATATTTTTGTGAATTGTGTACTATTATTTACATCCAGTCTATTTTCTACAAAGAGTATATTTTTAAAAATTGCTGTGAATACACTGTATACAAATATTATATAGATATATAATATGCATATATCTCTATATACATATTCTACTTCTTTCCACTTTACATATTACCATAAGTATTTTTCAATTCTAATTTTTTGAAATTAGTTGTATTGTAATTTACTTAATCATTCTTCACCCAACACTCTTTCTTCCAGCCTAGTCATGATAGGACATGTAGGTTGTTCAAATGTTTTGCTCTTTGTTCAAATTTTTTGTTCTTAGATACAGCGCTAGAATGCGTATACTCATTCATTGATTTTTCCTGTATGTTGAATTATGCATTAAAGATAGATTCCTAGAAGTGGAATCTCTGGGTCAAAGGGTCTGACTATATTTATGATTCTTGGTATATGTAGCCAATATATCTGAAAAAGAGTCATACTAATCAACACAGTAGGACCTAGTCTCACTGTACTTCACCAAGAGTTATTTAAATGTTGGCTTTCACAGTGAATATAAGTGTTAGTTCAAAGATCTTCTTGGCAGAGAGGCCGATAGATGTCAGAAAACATGAAGGGAAGAAGAGAAGAGACACTTAAAACTCAAGCGCAACATTAGAAGTAAAAGCCATTGATAACTGACAATTGGTTAGAGATTTAAAAAGCATTTTCGAAGTCATAATGTACATTAATACAATAACAGGCTTCAGTTTACCAAAGTGGATACTGCAACAAAATAAATGATTCGGGGTGAACTGGTGATGGGAATCAACTCCACCACTAATTTGCTAAGTGGTCTTTGCAAATTGTTTTCCTCTCTGGACCTTTCTCAACTGTAGAACTGGTAAGCTGAAAGGTGAAGATAGATGCTTTCAGAATTTAGAGTATTGGGTTGTACTCAGATAATGCAGACAAACTCATAGGGTTAAGGGGTCTGATAGGTGCTTCTCCTCTGTAGACACCCAGACTCACAACTCTGATGAGATCCACAGTTCTATTGGAATTGTGCAATGAAATAGCAGACACTCTTGGGATCTCCTGGGGCTCCTCCAACTTCATGAATGAATCTCTAAGTTCTATATGCCCCATATAAACTGATGACAAGATCTTTGAGAACACTGTTTCCTTAGCGGGTTTCCACAGAGAAGTTTTGAATATGGGGGTCCATGACGTGGTTTGAGCCATCTACCCTAACAACAACATTTGGCCTTTGGTGCCTCCCTAGTGTTCTCCTGATGGTTATCCAGATGGTGGCATACAGAAATTGAGCAAATTAGTAAACTAAAAGAATAAATGAGGTGCTGCATTTCTCTGACTCTATTCTAGGAAAATGAGTGAGAAGCAGGATCTCCCAGGTTTCAGGAGAGATCTGGGTCACTTTTTGGAGGTTTCTGGTATTGAATATATATTTTTATATATATATACACACACACACATATCTCTCCTCCAGGTGTGTATATATCTCTATATGATATATGTATCTATCTATATATCTATATGATATATATCTATATAGATATATATGATATATAGATATGCTATATATAGATATAGATATCTCCTCATAATAGACTTAATTTTTAAGAACATGTTTCAATTAATAGAAAAATTGAGCAGATAGTGCAGTGAATAACCCCGTGCCCAGTTTCCCCTATGATTAACATAATACATTATATGGTACACGTGTAACAGTGAAACAATATTGGTACATTATTATTAACTAAAGTTCATCATCGATTCAGATTTGTTTAGGTTTATCTTATGTCTTAAGTCTTTTTGCGGCCAATGATTCCATCTAAGACTCGACATTACATTAAGTTGTCATGTCTCTTTATGCTAATCCTTGTCTGTGACAATTTCTCAGACTTTCCTTGTTTCTGATGACCTTGATGGGTTTGAGGATTACTGGTTTTTTGTAGGACGCCCCTCTACTAGAATTTGTCTGATGTTTTTCTTATGATTAGACTAGTATCATGAGAGCAGGACCACAGAGAGAAATAATCATTTTCATCACGACATATCAAGAGTATACACTATCAAGATGATTTATCATTGTTGATGTTGGTCTTGATCCCCTGGCTGAGAGAGTGTTTGTCAGGTTTCTCCTGTTTTCTCCCCCTGACTACCTTTCCATATGGAATATACTCCCCGGAAGGAAGTTACTATCTACAGCCCACAATTAAAGAGTAGGGGTTTATGCTTCTCCTTAAGGCCAGCACATGTCCATAAATTATTTGGAATCCCTGTGCACATCTATATAAATACATTTGGAATTAAGGGATGTTTGTCTTTTCTCTCTGGTTTATTAATTTACTTAATACTTTATTTATATTAGTATGGACTCATTACATTTTTTTCTTTTCTTTTCTTTTTTTTTTTTTTTTTTTTTTTTTGAGACAGAGCCTCACTCTGTTGCCCAGGTTGGTGGAATGCAGTGGTGCCATCTCGGCTCACTGAACCTCCACTTCCTGGGTTCAAGGGATTCTCCTGTCTCAGCCTCCCGAGTAGCTGGGATTACAGGCACACAACACCACGCCTAGCTAATTTTTGTGTTTTTAGTAGAGACAGGGTTTCACCATGTTGGCCAGACTGGTCTCAGACTCCTGACATCAAGTGATCTGCCCACCTCGGCCTCCCAAAGTGCTGGGATTACAGGTGTGAGCCACCGCACCCAGCCCTGGACTCATTAATATTTATTTTAGACTTTGGGTTATAATGTAAAATACTATTCTATTTTGTTGCTCAAATTGTTTCAGCTTTGGCTACTGGGAGCTCTTCCAGTGGCTCCTGTGTCTTTTTGAAATATCCCTCACCAATAGAGTTTTGTTTTTGAATAATTCCTTACTTTAAGGTGCTACAAGAGCTTCCATTCTCATTTGTGAATTTTCTGCCGCAGTTTTAGACTCAACCATTTCTCCAAGAAGCCTTGGTTCCAGCTGCTGAGAAATGACATTAAAACTGAGACCAGCCTGGCCAACATGACAAAACCCCGTCTCTACTGAAAATATAAAAATTAGCTGGGTGTGGTGGTGCATGGCTGTTATCCCAGCTACTCAGGAGGCTGAGGCAGGAGAATTGCTTGAACCTGGGAGGCGGAGGTTACAGTGGGCCGTGATCGTGCCACTGCACTCCAGCTTGGGCAACAGAGTGAGACTCTGTGTCAAAAACAAAAACAAACACAAAAATGAAACAAAACTGAGATCCGAGCACCAGGTGTGCTTGTTGCTTGTCACTGCTTCTAGGACAAATATATTTTAAATCTTATATTTTTAACACCAGCACACACACAACTACAATACAATTGCACTATGCATAAAACAATCCTATATTTGTTAACAGCATTCAATCATGGTGTCATAGGAGCCTGTGGTCCTACACTGGAATCCACACACAAAACTTGCATATGATGGTCATCTTCTTTCAGTCCTGTTAGGATTGAAAGAGAGAGGTATAGCCTCAGTGGAGATAATATCAGAAGTCTAATTTTATTTATTTATTTATTTAGACACAGGATCTTACTCTGTGGCCCAGGCTAGAGTGGTGCCATCATAGCTCACTGCAGCCTCAAACTCCTGGGTTCAAGCAATCCTCCTGCCTCAGCCTCCCAAGTGGCTAGCACTACAAGTGTGTGCCATCATGCCTGGCTATTTTTTTTTCCATTTTTTTAGAGACAGGGTCTCATATGTTGCCCAAGCTGGTCTTGAACCCCTGGTCTCGAGTGATCTTCCCACCTCAGCCTCACAAAGTATGGGGATTACAGTTGTGTCATTGTGTCTGGCCTAGAAGTCCAAATTTGAGGCCTTCTTTGAATGTGCAGCCACAACAAATGGCTTTTGCAAGGCTGCCAACCCCATACCCTCTTTCCATAATATGCCATAAGAAAAGCATACTAGATTTAGAACTAGGGCCTGAAAGTTCCGAATCCAGCTGTGTTAGTGTTATAGCATATATAGCAAGTGGATTCTGTCTGGGCCTCAATTTCCAATGATATAAAATCAGGAACATCAGACTGGATATTGGCTAAAGGCCCTCCCAGTTCTAGCACACTGTAATTTTCAATAGTCTTACGCTGGGGGAATACAATTGGCTCCCCTAGTCTTTGTATACAGGCCTAATATTCCATAAAGTCTAAACCAGTGGAGGAATGGGGGTGGGGAGGTTGCTGCTGATAAATCAGAGTCATTTTATTATATTTTGGGAATGCCAAAGCCTGTTAAAGGCTTTAGATTATCTAGACAATTGGGCCTGAGAAACTTTAGACCTTTCTTTTTAAAGAATGAAGATCAAAAAAGGGTAAGAAATATTGATGGAAAATATCTCATTGGTTTCACGTTCTGATATATCAAGACTTCTTCCTCTTTTTTTTGTTTTTTTTCCTTTAGTAAGGGAAAACTCCTCATCTGTTATTTCCTCTGACTTCAAATAATTACCTTTAATGCAGTGATGGCTGAGCCACCTCTATGTTTCTTACCAGGAATCTCTCTCTAGGTTTTTTTTTTTTTCTTTTTCTCTTCCTTCCTTCTCTCCTCCCTCCCTCCCTCCCTCCCTTACTCTTTCTCTCCCTCTCTTCCTTCCCTTGAATGTTATGATGTGTTTTTTACATCCACATACTACCCAGTGTACAAATGTCATCTCCTTCCTATCATTGATGGGGACAGTTTCCAAAAACAAATAGAAGGAAAATAAAAAATGAAATATAGGGCAGAAAAGACACTTGGGAACTGTCACATTTCATTATGAATGCTGGAGATCAAAGGTACAAGTTCTTAGAACCTGCTTCCTCCACCTCTTAACGTTTAAAATCTTCAATTGGCTTTTGAACCCACTCAGCAAAATCCCAGACTTTGGTCTACAATTGGTTAAAAATTGATAGAGTGAGGATTCTGGGACTGCCTTCTTTACTTAGAAGTTTACATTTTAACTCCTTCCCTAGCCCCAGGTACACATATACACACAGCTCCCTTCCACTCCTCTTGCACAGTTCTGTAAATGTGTATTGAAATGTAAAGGTAGAGAACTAAGCGCAGCCATCCCGCAAATCATTGGGGCTATTCCTTCACACAGCTGAGGAAACGGAGTCCTCACAAGTGGCTTTGCTCAATGTCCCATCAAGAGTTTCAGGCAGAGCTGTAATTAGAAACCAAGGGGGTGTGTGTGTGTGTGTGTGTGTGTGTGTGTGTGTGTGTGCGTCTGTCTGTGTGTGTGTGTTTGCAACAAATACAGTTTTTTTTTTTCCTTCTCCCTACACTGTGCCCCCGTGGAGTTACATTTGTGTGTGTGTGCCTCTGTACGTACACAAGTTACACAGACACTGACATGTAGGAAACGTGCACCAAAGTGTCTGTCGTCTGACCTCAGGTAACAGTATAATGACTCGAATTTAAGGCAGCTGAAAGATTTCTGCCGGTGGAGGTTGAAATAAACAAGAAAAGCCACTGTGGAGATGTGAATGGAAAAGTACCGAGCCCTCCCTCCCTCCGCACATTCTTCCGCTCTCCAGCTCTCCCTGCCATCGAGCTGGCTTCAGATAGGCTTCTGCATGGTCAGGTGTACAAGAGGGCGGTGTGAAGAAGAAAAAAAAAATGCAGGCACAACACGCAAATCAAGTTTTTCCACTTCTAGCCTTAGGTAGTAGAGACAGCTAAGTACAGCAGCCAGCAGCCCAGCAACGGCAGTGGCAGCGGGTGGACCAGCCACCCTGAGTTTACAAACACTGAAGTGCTTTCCTTCCCTCATCCCTCTCAGAGTCCAGCTGCTGCTTTCCTTCATGCTAAGGTTTCACAGGAAGTGAAAACTCTGCTATTCAAAACAGCGATCGAATGCAATAAACAAATCATTACACACCCCCTAACCCCCATCACTTCTCTATTTTAAGCTCCTGATATTTATTTCCATTTTAAGTAAGTGAGAAAAGTGTGGAAAATTAGTGTTTGGGGGTAAACTCTGAGCCAGGCTGAAAAGATTTCTAAAGGAAAAAGAAAAAAAAATCTCAGAACAATAAAGGCTAAAAGCGGGCAGCATATGGATGAAAATTAAACATTAATACTTCCTTTTCAGAAGGCAGTAGCTGGAAATTATATATTTTTTAATGTCTCAAAACTTTCTGCTCCTCTTGCTATGTTAAAAACACCTTTCTTTCTCCAAAGATACTACAAGGAGCTTGTTTACAACAGCTCTAAATGAAGGATTTGAAATAAAATGAACAGGTAAAATTTAACAAGTCTGATAGATAATATCTCCCAAATCTATCAAAAGTAGTGCCAAGTACTTCAGTGTAGCTGAGAGGCATAAATAAACCCAAATGACCATCAAAACTCATCATGACTTGGAGTTAGCTCTGAGTTTTACAGTTTACAAAGAGACCATAGCAGCCTTGCTTTCCTCAGTTCTATAAGGAAACAAGATACCCACCTACAGACTCCAGTTGTCAGGTTACCCTGATCCTCTAAAATGACAGAGGGCCAGCAAATCATGCAGACCCATTTTCAGTTGTGTTCCTCGGGTCACACATCCTCCTAGTGAGGACCCAGCCTGTAATCCTGAAAGAAGAAAACCTAGAGGAGGTGATTGATTTGAAAACTTCTTTCCAGCTTTAAAATCTATAGTCCTGTGATGTGATATCTTAAAGACCTACCAAGGTGCCAGAGGTTCTTGATAGGTGAAAACAACTTCCTCTTGTGAGCCCCCTTAGAAAGAGGACAGAACCCTGTTTGTTTCAAGGATAGGTTCTTTTTCGGCTATGACTGAATTGTGGGGAAGATTTTGCAAGGGGGAATTGGATGTGAAGTCTGTTCTTTTCCTTAAATAGATGTAGTATTAGGACCAGGGTATTTTATTTTGTAATAAGGCTTATATTTACCCAGCGGCAATGATCAGGGACCTATTCTTATGCACAGTCCATGAGGCAAAGAGGTTGGCCTGGTCCTCTATTCTGAGTATTAACCTCCAGTAACCATTAAATAATGGGACTAGGTGATTTGTAGTACCCCCAAGTCTGCAGGAATTATTCATACGACCCCAGACATGGAATCACTCTTTAGAGCTTCTTAAGGATGATTTAAAAGAATCAGAATACATTCAAGTCAGCCCTTTCTTTAATCCTGTAACACGGCACTGCAGGAGTGAGGGAGGCCCACATAGTGATGCCTACTGGTTACTGAGGAGAGGTCAAGAACGAAAGAAGAAATGACATTCTGGAAGAAATTCAACTGGTATAATATTTGACAAAGTTACTTTCCTAGGAATTGAAAAGAGATTGAGAGGCGGGTGCACAATTTTCCTCAACATGCATTCAATTGAAAGTAAAAGAGACTCACCGAAAAGTAAGTGTCTATCTTTAGAACAATTTCAATAATCATTTTCTCTTTCTTTCTAACTGGTCTTCTGTTCTGGTCAATTTCTTTCAGTGTAAACACATTGATTTGGCAAAAAGCAGTAGGAAAATGTGGCACTCTGGCACTTGGTCCCACAAATAATGTGCTGGGAAGATCTGAGGTCCCTGGTGATGAGGTTAATTATATATAAACCAGGCCTGGTGGGTTCTCCCTCTAGGGGCTCACTGCAGAGAATTAAAGAGGGCTGAGGTATGAGAAGGGTGAATTCTTTCCCAGCCCCCACTCCGGCTGGTTCTACTACTGCCTTAGGGAGCAGATTTCCCTTTGCTCTGCAGCGCCCCCATGGGGCTAAGAGTGGAGTGGCAAAGGGAACACAGGAGGGACAAGCTGTGTGTGTTTCAGGTTTGGGGGGGCGGTGGATGAGGCTAAATGGCAGTTTTGACAAAAAAAATATGTGACCAAAAATCAGAAAAGTAATCTTTTGAAGGACCAATAATAGGGCAGAGCTATACAATTCACATTCCAAACCATATAGATAAATCTCAGAAATCCCAAAGTGCTAATTGCTCATAAAAGAAAAAATTATCACACATATAAACACACAAGGAAAATCCCTTCCGCAAAGTCGGGGTGTCATTTTGCATCCAGTGGGGTTCATTTTAATCTCTTTGAAAATGAGAAGGAAGGGGACTCAAATGAAAAAGCAGATAGTCTGCCTTCTGGCAGAATAAATCTGAACTTGACAATATCATGTGTCTTTGGGGGTAAAACGTACATTTCAACAACAGTGACAGGATTAGGCCTATGTACATTTTTCAAAAACCCTTCACAAGACAGGCTTTTCTGCAGAGGCTGCAGTAATCCATCTGTCAATAAGTATTAAAATATTCAAATTTCACAGGGACAGACACTCAACGCATGTTTCCTAAGCTCCAGCCCTTGTAGAAAATAATCAACCTTTTTGCACCTTTCTGGGTTTTAAAACCTAAAATACAGCCTTTAAAAATGTGTGTGTGTGTTGTGGGGTAGTGGGGTGCATTGCCAACAACATTTTCAGTGATACATGGAACTTCTTACAGGACTGTAAATGAAAGAGATTTTCCAAATATCCCAGCAAACAGCAATCTTTCACAGCTCTGATCTCTCCTCCATTATAAACCCAAATTTTGGGTTGGGATAGGTAGATTATTTTAAGACATATCTTTATTAGAAATTAACAAGTGACGAGATTTTGTGGAACCTTTAAGAACTCATCTGTAATTTAATAAGTCGCTTGAAGGACTCTCATAGCCAAGGCTCAGAACAGCCTGACCTTTGAAAGCTGCTTCTGGTCCAAACATTTTGGGCTAATTCTTGAGGAATCTGAAATATTATTTTCCCCTCACACCCTTCTTTTAAGAGAGAGACATAAAAGAAACAAGAGTCTCCCTTATTCAGGGATGAGTAGGAGGGGAAAAAACCCCAACCAACATTTAAATAAGGAAACTAGCAGCTCTGAACAAACAAACTAGGACCCACAATGAAATGATTCTGCACTGCAATTGCCTTTAAAAAGAAAGTAATAGAGAAAAAGAGAAGGAAAGATTTTCCCCTTCTTCTCTCCCCCCCCCCCACCCCCAACTCAGCTTCAAAGCTAAGACGACTGTGCTGCGTGTAGTGCGTTGTAGTTGTAGCAGTCTGTTCTAAATACAGGCAGTATCTGTGATACTGGCACGGCAGGCCTTTAGAATTCCCTCCGGCTGATCTCTTAAACACAAACTGAAGAGATTTTTTTACAACGACCTTGAAACGAGCCCCGAAAAAAACTATCAAGACCTTAAGAGAAAACAAAACACAAACAGGTATGTGGCTCACAGAATTTTGTAGAAAACACACACACATACCCCCCTACCCCCTACACACACACACACACACACACACACACACACACACGTTTCTTGCAACAAGAAATTTCCTCAGAGTCAACAATAACAGATTAAACACACCACTTGCTGTCCTGGAAAGAAACAAACCAAACCAAAACAAATCCTTTGAACATTTCTCTCAAGTGCAGGAGAGACACACTTCAGCAAAAGTCCAAGGGGAAAAAGAAAATTGCACCAAAGGAAAAAAAAAAAAGTGGGGGCTGGGATTGTTACATATGGCCAAAAATTTAAGCTTCTTTCAACAGTGTTAGTATTGAAATAACACATCTTCTTTAAAACGCTTGAGGGATTAGATAGGGAAAGAAAAGGCACGCACAAAAAAATCCAACCGATGCCGATCCTATGATTTACGTAACACCACAAACTTGCAAAAGGCAAAAAATCAGAAGCAAAAATCCATAAACCATCAAAATACAGCAACCAAAAATCCCAAGCCACCACACCAGAAAGAAAAAACCCCAGAACGACAGCAAAAACCCCTGTCCTAAATAAAAATAAAGCAAATGAACCCACCGAAAACTGCTTGGCAAATATTTTTCTCGTGGTGCCTAATATTCTAGCTGGAAAGAGCTGTGGTGTTTATTGTTTTTTTTTTTTTTTTTTTTTCTCTCTCTCTCTCTCTTACTTGCCTCTCTAACCCTACTATATATAACATACTTTTTCCAGTGGTTCAAACCTCTCGCTCCCTTTTGTGCATTTAGCTCGATCTGCTGAGTTTATGGGTAAGAGAGGAGGAATTAGCCCCAGACCCAGGGAAAGCAAAGCGCACTCCCCCTCTTATGTCACCGAATAGCAAATTAGTTCTCAGAATTCCAGAGGCCGAGCTTTGCTACAGCGAAGGCGCCGACGTCACAGAGGAGGAGCCCACGTGACGGTGGCGGAGCAGGCCATACCATCGTCATGGGTCCGGGGAGGGAGAGCCACATTCAGGCCCCTCGAACCTCGAACCGGAACCTCCAAATCCGAGACATTCTGCTTATGAGGACCTCGAAATATGCCGGACAGTGAAAAAATCTTGTGGCTTTGAGGGCTTTTGATCGGCCAGGGGAGGTAAAAAGCTCAGAGAGCTGACACCAAGTCCTCCCCTGCCACGTAGCAGTGGTAAAGTCCGAAGCTCAAATTCCGAGAATTGAGCTCTGTTGATTCTTAGAACTGGGGTTCTTAGAAGTGGTGATGCAAGAAGTTTCTAGGAAAGGCCGGACACCAGGTGATTATTGCTGTTGCTGCCGCCGCCGCTGCTGCTGCTACTGCCGCCGCCGCCGCTGTTGCCGCTGGTGCCGCTGCCGCCGCCGCTGCTCATGATCATTATTTTACCTTTTAATTCTTTTTTTTTCCGCTCTTGCCAAATGCTTTGGCTCCAAGTTTTCTATGTGTATCTATTGATATAAATGTATATATTTATTTATTCTAGCTGTCAGGTGTTAAAATAAATGCCGAAGATTAGTCCCACGTCTCTCCCACTCTAGGATATAGATTTTTATGTATTTATTATTATTATTGTTGTCTTTGAGTGAATCGGCCGGTTCGGGGAGGCTTTTGCCACCCTCCCTTGTGTTGTTTTGGTTTTTGGAAAGGAGGTGGAGGCGAGGAAGGAGGGGAATTAGGGGGCGGCCGGAGCAGAGAGGACGAGACACTGCTTGGGGGTGATTCGGGCAAGTCTGGGGGCTGTCTGGCCCCAGACCGCGGAGAGGACGCGCGCTCGCGCTCTCGCTCTTTCTGCTGCTGCTTGCGTACGGCTTGTGATCTCTCTGGATTCGTGCGGCTGTGTTTTTTCCCTCTTTTCTCGCTTGCAAACTGCTTTCCTTGCTCCCTCGCTGCTGGCCTCCCCTTCCCTCCCTCCTCTTTTTCCTCGCCTCTTCTTCCTTCCCTTCCCCTGTCCTTCTGGGTAACTCCGGGAGGCAAAAAGGGAGGCTGCCCGCTCGCTCGCCCCGCTGGCTCTCTTCCATCGGCCTCGGTCTTTTAGATTCCCTGCCTTCGAGCCGAACCGAGATTTGGAAGGAAAAAATGCAAGCGAACTCCTCGGGTTTTTGTTTTTGTTTTTGTTGGTCATAAATCCAGATAAGATGAAGTATCGTGTCTACTATTTCCTTTCAGAGCCGTGATCTTCCTAACGAGAGCCGAGTGTTTTGGTGTCCCCTGCCCCTGTGTTTTGGGGAGCTTGGGGGCGGGGATGTTGAACACTTTGAAAATTATTCTTTCTTGGTTGTAGTCGAGGGTGTCGGGAACCTCCGCGCGCTCTCCCTGCCCATCCCGAGGAGAGAGGCTGATGGCGGGACAGGGTTTCTGGGGTGGGTGGGAAAGGGGTGCGCATTGCACCTGCGATGCCTTTCAGTGTGCGGGGGGACTCAGGGAACCGCGACAGGACAGCCCGGGAGAACGAGAAAGGTGGCGGGATTTCTGGCGGCCGCGGTGTTTGTATTTTGGGTGCTGCGTGACTCTGTGTTGGCTCCCAATGGCTGTTCCCTCCCTTTCCTAAATTTTATTTTATTTTTTTCCCATGGTACAAGCTCTGTAAAAAGGGAGCTGCCTGCCTGAGCGTAGTGGACGCCAGGCTTCAGATTCCCGAGGTCCTTACCTTGGGCGAGGAGAAAGACGAACAGAGCCCCAGCCCGCGTTCCTTATGTGCAAAACTCGGGAGGAGAGAAGGGCACTTTGTGGCTGTGGCTGGGGGGGACCCGGCGCGGGAGGAGCGGGCGCGGGCGCGAAAGGGAGATCTTTGTGAGTGATTTTGCAAAAATAGATTGTGAGGTTGGTTGGATTTGCAACCTGTGGCTCTCCTCGAGGGAGTAAGAATGGGGGAAGGCGGCGGCGGCGGCGGCCCGGGGAGGGAGTGGGTAGAGTTGGAGCCTCAGAAATCGGCTGAGCTCCGGGGGCGGGCGAGGAGAAAGGAGGGGGCGGGCAGCAGGAGCTAGGGGCCACCCCGCTGCCGGATGTAGTGACCGTGGTAAATGTCTTGAGAACTGTGGGTTGCGTTGCCTTTATGATGCCGTGTTATTGGAACCCTGGCGAAAAATGGAACTAGTGTTGCAATAATGAGTTTTAAAGCTCCCCCATGGAAAACAAAAACACAACCAAACCGATTTTTTAAAAAAATGAAAAAAGACCCTCTGTGTTGTGTTCCCTTCTACGATGGTTGAGTTGGTGGCTGGGGTTTGGGGGTGGGGGGTCCTGACAGTTGAGCAGATAAATGACCCCAAACCAGGTGCTGAAAGTCCCAAGCTGTTACAGGGCCCCTGACCACCTCAAAGAGCCAATCTCCACTCCACCGCCCCCCCTTCCCCGCCACCCCACAACCCGCCAGGATTTAATCTTTTATGGATTTTTTTTTCAATCAGTTTATAGTTTCCAGGAGGAAAGTCTTGTAACGCTTTACTTTTTCTCTTCTTTTTCAAAAGTAAAGTGAGTGTCAGTAGATGTGTTTTTTACAGTCTGGATTAAAAAAAAGTGGGGCAGGAGAGAGGGAACCAGGGAAAGGGCTGTTTAGAAATACAGTTTGTGGCTCTGAGCGATGCCACCGGCTTCCTCTACAGAGACTGCCAGTTTCCCTTTTTCTTTGCAAGGTGTGTGTGGTTTTAATAAATAACTTAAAAAAAAAAGAGGGGGCGGCAAGATCCATCAGGAGACAGGTATCTATTTTGCTCACTATTTACTACCAAGAGCCTTTGGCACTAGAACAGAACCTCGTAAATCTGCAGCCCAAGTTGAAGTTCATCTGGCCCTAGTCCACACGCTATTCCTGGAGGTAGCAAACATGAGCTCAAAGGAGAGAGATGAAATCACATTCTTGCTTTAAAATACATACTTTTTTAAAAAAGACGAAAAGGTATTTGTCTCTGGGGGAGGAGGAAATGGCGAACAAGTACCAGGAGATGGGCATTCCCTTACTCTAATGACTGCAGTTGAGTCTTCAGGCCAAAATAGAAACCTGTAGATGGGAGCTCTCTCTCCACCCGCCCCCCCCCCCACCGCCACCCCAAGTTTATAAATAGAAGTTTCCAGTATCCTCAGTATCCTATTTGGAAGACTTTCCAATACTAGAGGCTGAAGCATTGGCTAGTTTTAAGGGTCTGTTGATAGGGACAGTAAGGCTAGATGCTGTTCATGAAAACTAGGGACTTGAAGGAGACAGCCAGACAAAGTGGGAATTCTCCAATTGTCCCTTTCCTCTTCTTTTCAGTTTTGAAGGGTTTTATTCCAATGCTTTCTTGAAAAGACTAACTTATTCTGGGTTTGGTGGATAGGAATGGGACTCTAAATTCTTAAGCTGTCGTTTGCTGAGCCCTTGAAGAGTTCCAGTTATTGGTTGAGTAAATGGTAGCCATGGCTAGATGTCAAAACCCTTCCTTCCCTCTATCAGGGTAATGACACTAACAGGGTAATGACACTCACAACCCACTTTGTTGTGAAAAACTTAAGAGATTTAGAGGAGGCGGTACAGCAGCGCCACCCCTCGGTGGGTGAAACTATTGGCAAAAGTCAATTTTTGAAAAATATTGGGAAGTGAACGTATGAAACATTTTTCCCCCCAGAGATTTAAAGAAAAGGGGGGAGATAAAACTAACGGATAAAAAGGACTTCGCAGTTTATCAAGTAGGGAAGAAAAATGTTGCTTTCCAACTAGGATGGTGTTATAATAGGCAACGTGGTTCATATATATATATATATATACATATGGGCATATATATATATATATATGGTGGGGGGAGGGTCCCTGGTTGACTTTAAGTAGAAGAGTTCTCCAGGCGGAGGTAGCCCGACCTTCCCCTTGGACTGACTTCTCAGGGCATCTTAATTCTGCTGCCTGTCGGATACCGAGATAGCGAGGGATGTTTAGGTGTAAAACACCACAGTGGCTGGAAATGCTGTAGTTTTGCCGGCGGTGGCAGGACGTATGTGTAGGGGGTGTGTTGAGGAGGTTTGTGGATGGCGTGGAGCAATGGTAGGCTGGTCTGTAGCCCTCTGTGAGTCAACATCGAATGGCGCGTGCCGGTTTCCAGCACTGCGCAACAAGTGGGACCGCCGCTGTCGCCGCGAGCACAGCGAGGGTGCAGCGTAGTGGTAAAACTGGCTGGTTTCTCTTTGCCCCAGTGGAAGCCAGGAACGGCCCCCCCAACCCTCCCGAGACCCACAACTTCACCAAAAGACCATACCCGACTCCCCACTCCCCCGCTTTGCCAGACGCAGTGAGCCTGAGTGGGATCCAGCTCTCGGCCCCCAGCGCCCCTTTCCTCCGAGAAGATCAGGAGTTTATTCCCGACTTTCTTTGCTGGACGACCAGTGTTTGGCAAGAATATGTGCCAATGCCGTCGAGTGCCATTCTGCTTTTTGAAGACAAGTGCACCTTCTTTCCCTTCCCAGTACATAAAGCTTTTCGGGGGGTGGGGGGGGAAATCAACTTATGATACATGAAACCAGCCCCCAGATACCACGTTGTGGTTGCTACAGGCGGGATCATCGGGAAGAACGGAATGCCATCCACTAAATTAAATGTTTTCTAGCTTTGCTTTTAGAGGCAATCACACCCCCAACCCTCGCCCCCACCAGACAGAAAATAAAGAGGGGCGGGTAGGGATCAGTGGGGAAGCTGCGGCCGCGCGGCGATTCTCGGACGGGCTGGCCTGCCACCTAGCGGTGGGCTGAGATCGAGTTCGCGGCCATGGGCGGTGGGCTCGCGGTTCCACCTCCCGGGCGGCGGTGCCCTGACCAGATGCTAGGCCTGACAGAAGGAGGGCACCCTCCAATGGGGATGGCATGCAACCTCCAAAGTTTTGACAAGAGGGATGAAAATCAGGCCTCGCTGCTCGCCCATCACTCAGCGATGAGCATCTATTTCCACTAAGAGAAACTACAAATAACCCGCTTCGAACACACCATCTTCCTGTCCCTGTGGCCCTTCTTAGGGGAAGTCGGTAGTGGAAGGATGCCATCCAGGAGCTCAGGGGCTTTGGGACGTACAACTCTGTTTTACAGTTGAGGAAACAGGCCCGACAAGGAGGCTTGTTAGTGGTGAGTTAGTGTCTTAACCAGGACCAGATTTTAAGCTTCTGAATTTCATGTCAGTGACTGAAAGTCACAGGCGGGTTTATCTCAGCTCCTTTGAAGTATTTATGAGAATGGATCGGCTGCCAGAACCATGAGTTAACCTCTTAGGCCACCTTTGTTGCCAGTGCTCATTGGAAACCGCTCCGCAGCAGTCTTGGAGGATTTTTTTT